AGGAGAGGTGAGGCTGGACTCGTAGGTCATCTCTAAGATAGGGAGTTTTTTAAGTACCCTGGGTCTATTATTCAGGGGGATTGGGAGATTGATGAAGATGTCACACATCACATTGGGGCGGGATGGATGAAATGGAGACTCGCTTTCGATATTTTGTGTGACAAGAAGGTGGCACCAAAACTTAAGGGTAAGTTCTACAGAGTGGTGGTCAGATCAACGATGTTGTATGGGGCTGAGTGTTGACCAGTCAATATTGCTCATGTCCAGAAGATGAAGGTAGCAGAGATGAGGATCCTGAGATGAATGTGCGAGCACGCCAGTTTAGATAGGATCAAAAATGAGATTATTCGCGACAAGGTGGGTGTGGCCCCTATTGAGTACAAGATGCAGGAAGCACGACTTAGGTGGTTTGGTCATGTGAGGAGGAGGAGCACAGATGCCCTGGTGAGGAGGTGTAAGAGGTTAACATTGGAGGTCCTACGGAGAGGTAGAGGTAGGCCAAATAAGAGGTGGGAAGAGGTGATTAGGCAAGACATGGTGCAACTTCAACTGACCGAGGACATGACCGTTGATAGGAAGTTATGGAGATCAAGGATTAGGGTAGTAGAGTAGGTAGTCTAGACTGTTCATAGCAGTAGTATTGGCACGCACTCTCGCTTTCTGTTGGTAGTAGATTTTTATGACTAACCGTTATTTTCTTTCATTGTTACCTTACTATCTGGTTGTTTTTATTATGCTTTTATATGGCTTCTTGGCACTGTCCCTTGTTGTCTATATTTTCGTTAATGTGGTGCTTATACTTTCCTGAGCCGAGAGTCTATTGGAAACAACCTTTTTATCCTCACAAGGTAGGGGTAAGATCTGCGTACACACTATCCTCCTCAAATCCCACGGTGTGGGATATTACTGGGTATATTGTTGTTGTTGTAACACGCAAATCAAAGCAATAAAAGTTTATTTGTGTCTTCTAGCTATTGTTCAAAGTGTTCTTCATTTGTTCTCTTCTTTATTGGCGACCGAGCTTGTATCGAGGGTCCGATCGAGAACGAATTCCACTGTTTAACTTAAGATCAGGCTTGATCATCACGTTGCGATTGGTTTGATCTTATGTTTTATCTTTAACTTATTTACCATATGTTCTTAATCATTCGTATTAAACTAAATCACATATCCTTTAAACCGCGTATAAATTTAATTGTTAATTGTTTTTAGGGTAAACAGTGTTCGCAGAAACAATAACCATAAATGAACCTGACCAATTAAGCAATATTCAGATACCTAAAAGGGCTAGGTCAATTGAGTCGAAAAGCTTCTCATTTCTTGTAGCTCGGCCTACAAGCTGCAAATAAAAAGCAAGGATAAACTACAAGGTTACTACATTGATGAATATACTCTTTTAATTATAGAAACGTGCTATTTGGTCAGTCTCAATATATATGGATGCACAATTAGGAACATGTATGCTATAAATTAATTATTTTTTTACTATTAGCGAATTGATGCTTGTGAAGACTTTGGAAAGTCATAAAGCTAGTTCTTCTGAAGAATATTACACGCTAGATGAGGTGAAGCGAAACATTAGTCAATTTTTAGTCCGCTATTTAAAATATATTCATATACAATATATTTAAAGATTAGTCAATATATTCAAAATTCAGGACTAATAGCATGTTTGGCCAAGCTTCTAAAATTAGCTTATTTTGAAAAATATTTTTCTCAAAAGTACTTTTTAATGGTGATGAGCAGCTTGTATTTGGTTAATTACTCTGAAAAGCACTTTTGAACAATAATTAGTGTTTGGCCAAACTTTTAAAAACTCCTTCTAAGTGTATTTTTCTCAAATGCTTATGAAGAAAAGCTACTTTTTTCTGTTTCTGCTTCTCCTCAAAAGCACTTTCTATTCCTTCTAAAAGCTTGGCCAAATACCTTAATTTTTTGAAAGAAAACACTTTTGACTAAAAAAAAAAGCACTTTTGGCCCAAAATAAAAACTTGGACAAACAGGCTATAAGTATCCTTAATTTGGAAGTCCTTAATTTCTAAAGTGCTAATTTAAAATTCAGAACATAAGATTCGAATTTCTGGACACAATTTTCGAACTTTAGGACACGATGCCTTGAAGTTTGAACTTTGAGGTTTAAAATTTAAACTTCAGGACGTCGTGCCTTGAAACTTGAGCGAATTAGTTAATATTTAAATACCTTGTAATCTGTAAATATATTTTAAATAATATGCTTAAAAGTGATTACTTGGTGTCATTTTCACCCTAGATGTTGGAATGGAATCTTTACACAAATAAACCGACTGGATTTACTATTTATCTTATTAGCTTATATATTTAGATTATACATGAATTATATATGATTACACACATATTATATATTAATTCTACATATATTATATATCTGCTAACTACTTTTAATTTAAACGGTTTGGTAGACGGCTAGTTAGGTTAATTCTTCTATTGGAGGGTTGAATTGATCCATATGCTTGATAATTTAAGCTTTGGTTATCTACGTCTAACATTTTGGGCTTCTTGTGGTGCGGTAACCAACTCTGTGTAAAAATCACGAAGCACGCGGCGAAAGGAATGATTAAACCAAAATACATACACTGACAATATGGCCTTTGTGGGTGCTATCACGGGCCAGAGGCTAAAATAAAGGCCCATTTGCACAAGACATGAGGAGGTGGGCCGCAAAAGCCTTAGTAGAAATGACACCAACTAGCAATTCTAAAGGGTTGTATTTAGAAAAATTGGCATCCTATAACAATACATAATAGAAATTGGAAATTATTTAATCTTATATTAGGTTTGGCAAAGATAGCCCCAAACAATTGGCATTATATATCCAAATCTTAAAAAAACTACTCTCTTTTATATTCTCTCCTAAGAAAAAATACACGCTTATTATGCCTTCCCTCCCCATTTCTCTCACTGTATTTCTTCTTCTATCTCAAAGAGGAGGGGAGAAGATTTAGAATTTTTCTAATTTTTCCTTTTATCCACACCATTTGCATCGTCAAATCAGCATCCATGACCACCAATGCCTTGCCGACGTTGTCCAGTTAATTTTCACCCCAATCGAAGAAGAGCAACCTACAAGATATGAATGCTACGAGATTCTTAGGTTTTTGAGGAATTTTCGGATCCTTCTCAAACTTAAGAGAATCACACACAAGTTTTTAAGTACGCCCGTGTATATCACTTTGTATATTGTGTATACAACACAATTTATTTATGGACGCCCATGTATATCACATTGTATATCGTATATATAAAATAAATTTTCATGGATATACACAGATACAGATAAAATACATGAGATATTACTGATGTACATAGAGATATACACGGGTTACAATAGGGGATATACATGTGGAGCCGTCATGAACTTGAGTTTTCAGTCTAAAATGTGTTATACAAAGAACGAAAATAAAATTTTAATAAAATTTTTTGATATACACATTATTATTATTATTATGTTATACATTGTGATATACAAATAATATAATTATTAATTATTGATCAAAAAGGGAAAATAAATTTTTGATATAGCATGTTTAAGCAAGTTCTAAAATATAAAAATAATAAATATAATTGTGGGAGTAAATAATATTTTGATATACAAAGAAAATTAATTCTTGATATACACAAAGAAGAAAAATAAATTTATGATATCTATTTTGGTATACACATGTCCGATGTGCTATACACTGTGATATACAAATAATACAATATTTTTATTGTGATATACATTGATATAAAGACAACAATAAATATATATAATTTTATATTATGGATATACAAAAAATAATATTATTTATATACAAAGAATGAAAATAAAATTTTAATATACATGTTGATATAGACAAAGAAGGAAAAAAAAAGTTGTGATATACATATTATTATTGTGATATACATTTATTGGCTATTGACGCCAATGCCTATAACTAAGGCTATTTTCTGCCAATTATATGGGTATATTGTTATACCATGCCAAAACCCCTTGTATTTAAGAATTAATCGGTGTGTCCTGAATTTTTATTTTTAAGTTCAAATTTTCAGGACAAAAATATCTTGAATTATCCCGAAATTAAGATTTTTAGTTTAAAATACTGGATAATCCCTAAATAATATTTCTGGGAATGACTATCTGTGCACTTGCCCCAAAGCCTTAAGAGTGCAAAAACAACTATTCTCAAGATTAGGGGTGTTCGTCGGTCGGTACGGTACGATATATAAATATTTTGATTCAGTATTTTCGGTATTCAGTTTCTTAAAATGCTATATCAATACGTTCCTAATTAAATTCGGTATGGTTCGATTTTTCTCCTTTCAATTTTGATTTATTCGGTTTGAATGCTAACTAGTGCATAGAGTCATAGACTGTAATATTCTTAATTAAAGTACTCTAAAGTACAAAACTAAAAATATTCGTTGACAAAAAATTTGTCCAAGACTAGCAAATATCAACATAGAAAGAGAAAATTGTACATAAAAGAATAAATTTGATCATTAAAAATGTCTTGTTACTTGCTTAGAATTAATTGATGAATTTAGAGAATAAAGAAAAGTAAAATTTAAGATTTTTTATATTTTTGATATAATTAAAAATATGTGTATTGTGTGATATAATATATATTTCGATACGATATTGGTATATCGGTATTTCATTTTAAAATACCAAATATCATACCAATACCAATATTTTTTTAAAAATAAGCCAAATACCATATCGAATATCAAATACTGAAATTTTCGATTTCGGTACGGTAATTCTGTATTTACCAAATTATGCACGACCCTACTCAGGATTGCTATTTAGAGATTAGCTAGTATTTATTTTTTTCTAAAATTTTAAATTAAAAATCTTAATTTCATTATAATTTAGGATATTTATGTGCCAAAAAATTAAACTAAAAAACTGAAATTCAGAATGTATGGGTTAATTTCTAAATAGAAGCGTTTAAAGTGGCTACCTGGTGTCATTTTTACTAGGCTTAGAGGAAATATCCGAAGACCCAGATAAGCAAAACGCAAAGACAGAGATTTCTGCAGATAACATCGTTAATAGGATAAGGCGTTCTTCCTTCCCCTTTTCACCATTCACTACTGTAACCCATCTTTCTCCTCCATTTCCATGAATTCTACCTCCTTCATTTCTTAACATTAACAGAAAGAACCCTAAATTACCTCACTTCTCATACCAGAAAATGGGTTCCGTTGTTCTCCCTCAGGTCTGCAACCCTTCTTTATTTTCCTTATTACCAAGATTTTTGCATTTTCGTGTTAAAAATTTATGATTTTATTGAATTTTACAGGCATTATTTGTAGTTCCAAGAAATCTCACAACATGTACACCAAAGAAGCTAGCTTTTTCAGCCTGTGTTTCTCGTAGACCCTCTCAGTTGAATTTGTCATTGTTTTCACACAATTCAATGGGGTTAAGTTCAAAGTGGGAAAGTCGTTCTTTTGTTGTTAGAGCTGAAGCTGAAGCTGATTCTCAAGGGGAACCAGAAGCTGCTGAGACTGAGGAAGCTGCCACAGCAGAAACAGCAGTTGCAACTGAGGAAAGGCCACCATTTAGGCCGAGAGCTAAGCTTGGAGATATAATGGGGGTATTTCTTAAGCACTACCCTTTTATTTTTCTAATTGGTTAATTGGCTCTTGTCTGGATTGTGTAAAGTTTTTGAGTTTGGCGTGAAAATGTATATACTGAGGTTTGGGAAACTTAATATTAAGCTAATTTGATGAATGTTGCATTATTGTTGGAGTAGATATTGAATAAGCAAGCAATTGAGGCGTCAGATGCTGTAAGGCCTATACCAGACATTAGGACTGGTGATGTTGTTGAGATCAAATTGGTAAGTATCTGTATGTCGATCGTGTTTTTTTTCTGAAAATAAAAAAGGTTTGAGGTAGAGTTACCCTCAAAAGTTTAATTGGAAGGATGTGTATGAACTTGTAGGAAGTCCCAGAGAATAGGAGGAGGTTGTCTATTTATAAAGGTATAGTCATTTCAAAACAAAATGCTGGTATTCACACTACAATTCGCATTCGGAGGATCATTGCTGGCATTGGAGTTGAAATAGTGTTCCCAGTGTAAGTCTTACTTTCTGTGCTTTAATGTGGTGACTTTGCAAATTTGTTTTATGATTTCTGTCGTGTATACTTGTATAGTACGTTGTTTGCTGTCGCTTTGAGTTTGAATCTGTATTAGTAATGTTTCAAGTGAAAATGAAGTAAGTTATATGATGTGTCACTATTCAGATAGGATATGCTTGCAGATCAAAGTGACATTCGCAATTTCTCATAGTCAACCAGCAAAAAGATTTTGAACTGTCTGCTAGTTTTTGGATATTGTGCTTGAAACTTAGCAACATTAGCGTTAAAGTCACAGACAGCTATTTGAATCTGTTGGCCTATTCAATCAGTGGTTCTTTCTTCTTACTTGGACAACTTCATGCTGTTAAACGTTTCATTCCTTACAATTTCAGCTCACTATCATCGTATAAAAGAGGGGCTCTATAAGATGTGAAAGAACATCACTCATGATTGATACATTTCCTTGGGCTTGAAAATCAGATGTTAAAGTGATCTTAAATCTATTTAAGTTTAAATGGGAATACCTGAACAGGATTTGACTGATTAGCTGAACCAACAAATTTCTGTGACCACCGCTTGGTTGCTATGTAGCCTACTTCCTTCTCCTTTAGCAATGACAAAGGACATGGTGAAGGAAAAATATCAGTTTTTGTTAGTTTTCCTTTTAGGCAGTGGGAGCAAAAGTAACAAATAGCACGGAAATAATTGTAGAGAGTCTTAACAATAATAATTGTAGAGATATTTGAGTGATTTGTGGTCACTTTAGGGGACTTTGGCTGATTTGTCGTTTTGGATTTCTCTTCCTTTCTCTTCGTTAGCCAGATGTGCAAGTTACTGCTGATGTGATGGAGTAAAATTGATGAATGGCGTTACACCTTTGGGTGAAATATGGGAAGAATTTGGTCTTTATACTTCTATTGATTATTCTTGTTTCCCATCTGATGATAGTAGTTTAAAACACTTTCCCATGACAAGAAAGACCTATTTTGGTTTTCATTTTTCCCTTGGGTAATATTGATCATGGCTGCTACCATTGTCCAAGTAAGAAATTGGAAAAGTAGTGGGAGGACCGTTTAATTTACTGATACAGACATACAGGTTTTTAGGGAACAAAGCCCCATCTTGTTAAAAGTTTAGGGATTACACATGTGATTTACCTTAAAAATTTAAATGGATCTCTAGAACAGTACACAGCCTTGTAAACAACCTGATTATTGTCTTGCCTGGTGAGTTGCTTTTGTTTTGGATATCAGAGGTGGATTCCGGATTTGAAGTTTATTCGCTTGTAGTTACAGTAGTAACTTAGTGCACAGTCAAATATCTATAGATATTTAGTAGACTTTTTAACACATATACACTGTCTAGGCAATAGCATGCATTCACGTGAACCTCCGTATGTCGTAGGGTAGATCTGCTCATGTTGGATATCTTCTTTTTTGTCTCCTTTAAAATCTTGGAGACATTACTTGAATCTGGAGTATCATCTAGAAATATAATCTTAATGTACTTTTTTGAGGTGTCCCATAGTTTTATGTAAGTTTCTTCCATCAGAATATCGGATGAAAATAACAAGCTTCTTCTGTCAAAATGTGCATATATAAGTAAATAAGTAATATGTGCTCCACGTGTAGATGGCAAATTAGATGCTGAAATTGACCTGCTAATTATGGATGGGGGTCAACTTGTGTTCTTGTATTCTTGATCCACGTCTCCATTCTGCCCCCTTGTGGGGTATTAGTGTCACAGCATAACTTTAGTTATGCTTACATAGTCAAGAAAATAGGAACTTATTATTATCATTCTCCTTTTTACTTTTCATGACAACAGGTATTCACCAAATATCAAGGAACTCAAAGTAGTTAAGCACCGGAAAGTCAGGCGGGCAAGATTGTACTATTTGCGTGACAAACTCCCTCGGCTCTCTACTTTCAAATGAGAATCCTTTAGTTTGGCCTCTTTCTACTGTCCTTTTCCTTCATAATTTTGTTCCTTTTCTTTATTGGAAGTCTACGTAAGTGTAATTTACATCAAACATTCGTAAATAGGTTGTTTCATTTTTGCTTAATTTTTCTCCAATCTATTGAAACTTTTTCGACATACTCCTTTTCAATATGAATGATGCAATTACTAGTTGGAGAGTTAAATTTTCTTTTCTTTGATGATGATATTGTTTGCCGTTTTCTATAGCTGTGGCGCTGAAGAATTCGTGTTGCTGCCTTTGCCGTTTCGGGGGGCGCCAAGCGCCAACCTTGACCCCCAAATTTCCTACACTTTGTGCTTTGCTGCCTTTGGCGTTTTAGTTGGTGCCTTGCGCCCTTCTGGACAAAAAAATTTCGTTTTGGCTTCAAACCGTGTGTATTCTAATTGACTCCTACATATATAAGCACTATAATTAAGATCAAGTGTTAATATTCACAAAACTAGACTCCCGTTATGCGCGGGGTCTGTGGAAGGGGTATGCAGCCTTAAGCGTCAATATTCACATTAAAGTTAAATGTAGTATAGCAATTCATTGTACGCGTTAGATCATAGTATATAATTAATTGAGACAGATAGACAGTGAATTAGACCTTGCCATCGAGCTGGGATGTCAATTCTGAAATTCCAAAAACTAGACAGTCCTCTGAAAATTGGCCTTCTTGATTTTCATGGGCATTTAGATAAAATCTTGTGTTTCTTCATATCCTCTATGTACTAATGTCGACCCTTTTGGTGACAAAAATGGCAAAAGTTACGGGCAAAACTAATTTAATAGTGGGCATATCCAAATAATATAAATGAGCTGGATTGAAGTGTAAATAACTGTCTGGTGATATACTATCAGTTGTTTACACATTTTAACAATTCTTTTTGAGATTTACAGAATCACTCCACAGTAGGTAATATGTTAAAGAGAGCGATAAGAAAACTTGAGTAGATGCTCCTCCTAATTATATTAAACAAATTAAAGATGATTACCAATGCCAAAATTGATTTTTAAAAAAAAGAAAAGCTGATAAATTCGGGTATGTTTGATTCAAACATATCCGACAGATCAATATTTTAATTCGGACTCAAATATGGAATAACAAGCAGCTACAGATGTATTAAACGGCATAAAATAATACTGAACGAGTCAGAAACAAAATGGAAAACGTCGAAATTAAGAAATTACGCTAACACGTCGAAGACAACAAAAAACAAAATGAACGAACACGAATATGCTGATGCCTGGTATAAACCAAATAATTTAAGTAAGGACACATAATTTTAGTGTATTTTTGTTTGTAAGTATTCAATATCTAAAATTTATTAGTCTAACTAATAGCATGTTTGGCCAAACTGTAAAATTAGCTTATTCTGAGAAGTATTTTTTCTCAAAGTGTTTTTTCCAAAAGTACTTTTGGTGAGAAATGGTTTGTGTTTGACTAATTAATTTAAAAAACACTTTTGAGCAGCAATTAGTGTTTGACCAAACTTTTAAAAACTGCTTCGTATATTTTTTTGCTCAAAAGTGTTTTTCAAAAAATTGCTTTTGGAGAGAAGTTACTTTTTTCCGCTTCTCCAAAACTGCTTTTGCTTATCTTCAAAAACACTTTTTTTTCTTTCAAAAGTTTGGCCAAATACTTTAATTTTTTAAAGAAAAAAAAACTTTTGGCCAAACAAACTATAATTCAAATATACAGATGATATTGTGAAGAGATAAAACGATCTTATCAAAAATAAACTTAGTCGACTTGATTCTTACATCAAATTATATAGACTTATAATATTTAAATAAATTAAGATTATATAATATTAATTAACTATAGCTGATTGAAAAAAATCACAGGTAATGTATTTATTAATATGACTCGGCCAGGAAATGTAACCATTATATTAAACTACTAAAGGGTGGTTTGGTAGGATGTATAAGAATAATGCGGAATAAGATGTATTAGTATGCATGGATTAGTAATGCATGTGTTAGTAATGCAAGCATTAGTTGTGCATATATTATTTCTTATCTACTGTTTGGTGTGTTGTATTAAAATTATAATGCATTGCATAATTTTTAAGAAAAATAGTTGTTTATAAAAATGCCCTCCATATTCTCTAGCTTTAAAGGACTTTAAGGACAATTTTATCTTTAAACATACTAATGCATGCATTAATAGCCTTGATATTACTAATGTCATGGTTTTCTATGCATTACTAATGCATAGGATAATACCATTAGTTATACATATGTTAAAAAAATGTATCAAACAAGGTATTAGTAATGCATAGAGCTAATACTTACATTATTTTTTCTAATACCTCCCGCCAGACGTCCCTGTAATTAAGTGAACAAGTTGAGGACAAATATATATATATATATAATAATTACATTTATTGATATGACTCGAGTAAATTTTAGCTATAATTAAGCTATTTAATCGAAGAATTATCCCGTATTTATCCGATGAATAATCAAACTGAAGTGGACCCCACAAAATAGAAGGAGCAACCAGTCCGAACATTCGCTTTTGAATCGGACGTCACTGTCCGCACACATTCGCCATGTGTCACGCCATCATTTCCACCACCTCCTCTCCCTCCCTTTCCTCTCTTTCCCCTCACCTCATTATTGCTGATTGATACCCCCCACCCCCATTACCCCCACACCCATACCACCCGCACATACCTGTATAAGAAACCTTCATAACATAACTATTCACTTTTCCCCCTCTTTCTCTTTCTTCTTCTCTCAAAAGCTACACAGATCTTTCAGGTAAAATTCCTTCTTCTGCTTTTTATTTTCAACGGCATTTCTATGATCATCAGTTCTTTTTTTTTTTAATTTTAGGAAAAACTGTTTTTTTTTTCTATCTATATTTGCATTTGATGCATTTATCTGTTTTGTTATTGGATGCATTTTGGTAACCTAGGGTTTGTGTATGTGTATGTTTTTGTTTTGTATTTTTTAGGTTCGTTTTGATAGGGGGCTGATCAGCTTGAGGTTCGTAACCATGACTGGTACTACCAACCAGTTGATATCTGTTAGTCCCGAGGAGCTCAGATTCCAATGTAAGCTCTCTCTCTCTCTCTCTCTCTCTCTCTCAGAGATTTTTGTTTCCGGATTTTTGGTTAATTACGCTTTTGTTTTAATTTTATGTCTTGTGATGGGGAAAGTTATTATTTTGATTTGGTTAATTGCAATTGAATGCACCAAAGACGAAAATAGAACGGCCTGTAGAATATGTTGTATCTAGACGTTGGGGATAAATGTGAGAGAGAATTAAAAGAAGAGGGAGAAATTTGAGGGCAATATGCAGTGGGTGAAAAAGTTGTCAAATTTATGTTTTATTAGCACTTACAGACTAATGTATGTGATTTTTATCATAAAATTATGAGCTTTGTGGTGAAATCGTTCAGAGGAAACAAAAAATGAGCTGCTCACACTATGATCTGTTTGCTGATCAGATCTATTTTTAAGCTAATCTCGTGGTTGGGGGAGGGGTGGCGGGGCGGCAGGAAGAGGGTGCAAGAGAGTAGTCATATGGGTAAAGTTGCAGTGGTGAAAGAGATTTAAAAGGATTTCATGTGAGGATTTATGGGTTTTTTTTGTTGATGTTTTCTTCTCGATTTATTTGTGCAAAATATTAGCTCGCTCAACTGTGAACTTGACGGAGCCAAAAGAGTGATTGTTCATCCAATATATTAGGGTGAGTAAGTGTGAGATATTAATCAGTATAATTGAGTTAAACCTTATATGCAGACATAATTTCTTCTGCTGTGTTATGTGTCAAACATGGACGCCAAAATCTTGGCGCTAGTAGAAATGGACTTGTAAAGTATAAAATTCCAGAGCTGTTGGCTTATTTTCAGGACCAAGTAACTCAGTAAGTTAGATTAGCTCAATGAATCCGCTCTCTATATTTTTCGATAAGAAAGATGATTTTATTAATCATAGTACTAAGTGGGTGCTCCAAAATATTTACAGTTCAGAAATGCACAAAGGAACTATTCTCCACAGTGTTCTGAGTTGCTTCTTTACTTTCTACCCCTATCAGCTTTGGAAGTTCTCCTTTAGTATCTTAGGCATAGCACGCTGCATAAAGATCAAGGAATAAACGCCAGACATACCATGTCTTGCTGCAGTTATAAAAAAGTGATTGGAGGACTCTGGAGCACATTCACATATGTAATATCATAGTTATGTGGAAGCAACCTCCTCTGTCATGCCTTTTTTATAGCTAACTTTCCAAAGCAGGCTGCTTTAGCGGAGCTCTTTTGACTTCCTAATGACTTCACAAGGCCACTGTGTTACTCACCTGCATTGATCAACAGGTCATAAGACTTCCTATTCTTCCTTGCTTTCCAGTGTGAGATGTTCCCGTCAAAAGATGTGACTTCTGTTCTTCCAGCTTTAGAAGAAGTAGCAACGCTCTTTCAATCTCCAAATCCTGTAGATCTCTTGTGAAATTAATTTGTCACCCATTTTCATCTCTGATATCTGCAAAGTGACAACAATCTGTGATGCACTGATGCTAAGATATATAAGTCTGGAATTGTTGCTTCAGGTGCACTTTTCCACCCACAGATCTAATTGCAGCATCATTTTGCTTCATTGACCTCCTTAAGCTTTCTAAATTAATGAATTCTCTCAAGTAACAATTTATTTGCCTCCACAATGCCACTCATAGGAGTATTTCCCGGTTTTTTGGATTATCTATATGACTTTTTCCTTTCGACATTTTCTATTGTAATTCTTGTTCTATGTGGAGTATCCAAAATCACGTGATAAGGAGACTTCTTTTTGGTACTTTCAAGTTCATTACCCCGATTCCTCCATGTCTTTTTGGAGCTATCATTTCAGACCATTTAACTAGATGCTGCTTCCTCTTCTGAGCTTTATCGTCCCACAGGAAGTCTCTTCCTTTTCCCACCTCATTGGCATTTGCAGCACAAATTAGATATGTTGGCAATTGGCATACACCTATTACTCCCTCAATTTCATTTTTGTATGATGGTGTTTAATTGGGGACAAAGTTTAAGTAATGAAAAGAAAGACTTTGGCACATAAGCTAGATGTATATAACATCCCAAAATAGCCTCCAAAGTTTTGTGATTTTCAATGCCATGTCATTCCTATAAGAGTAGTTAAAG